CTAATTTATGTAATTTATTAATTATTACCCATTGAACTTGACATTTCCTCTCGACTTAGCTGTGATACTTTGGTTTTTCTTTTTTAAGGTTTTATTCCTTCGAGTTATGTTCTCTTCACATTTTTTTTAAACAATGACCCAAAATTACATAAGTAATATATATCACACTATATATATATATATATATATATGTTGTAATATCTGAACTCAAAATTTAATTCAAAATTAATTTTAAAAATGTATAAAATATAATTTTAAAATTAATAAATTTTTAGTTAATGTGAAATTATGGGGGAAAAAAAGGTTAAGAATGAAAATAAAAATAATTTTAAAAAAAATAAATAAAAATTTGTGTTCAAATGATGTTTTTTTAAAAAAAAATCGAAAATTGGGGGTCAAAATGTAATTAAAAAAAATTGTGTCACGTAGGACCGCTCAGTAAGCAGTCCCGACGAACTAGAGCACGCCGTGTGACAATGCATGCTGACTCGATGTCACGCGGGAGGCCACGCTGGCAATCTGCGTGCCTGGGATCAGACGATCCAGAAGCGTTCCTACGTGCGTGGACGGTCCAAATTCGTTCTCTCATCAGGTGCGATTGAACGGTTGTGATTAAACGCGATGAACGGCAAATTTGTTTGTTTTTTAAACGCGATTGGATGATCGAGATCAAATTGTAATGAACGATCTAAATTTATTTCCTCTTTAAACGCGATCGGACAATCGAGATCAAACACGATGAACAACCTAGATTTTAAGCGAGACGGGTATAAATATCTCACATCACACCGAACCCAAATCCTAGCCGCCAGACTCCCGCAGAAGAAGAAGAAGCAGTCGCCAGAGAATGGAGCTGACCGCTGCACGTCGTCGCGTCGGAGCCACCTCCAACCGCCAGAAAAGGTAAAAATTCTCTTATCCGCTCGAAATTTAATTTTGAGCACCCCTATGGCCAAATCGGAGCAAAAAGAATAGTAGATGAGCCAAAAATCGTGGGCGAAGCCTGGCAGTGCTGCTGCGGACAAAACCCAAAACCGCCTCTGATGAGTCCCTTCTTGTTTCCCATTTCGTGCGATTTTTCTACCATTGTGTTCTCCATTTTGTTTTTTATAGGTTGAACAACGAAAAACACGCAGCCGCAAAGGTGAGCCGGTGGAGCCGACGCATCGAAAACGCCAGTAGGTTTTTGTTTTTATTTTTTATTTTTTCGACCAATCGATGCCTCCTAACGTGTTTTATCACAAAGATGAGTATAAGACCGGCCAAAACTGGCCGAAAACGGCCAAGCCGAGGCAAATTGTTGTCGCGGGCAGCGGTGCCGCCGTGCTGGAATTGTGAAATTGGCTAGAAAAATTTTTTAACATCGATTTTGGATTTTTTAGGGTATTTTAGGTACGTGAAGTGTGTTTTAATCTCCACAGAAAAATTGAGGAAACCCGAGAATCACTAGTAGGCACGATAGAAAGTTCGGTGTTTCGGACACTAATTCGAGTAAGAATCCTTCACCTTATTCTCTGTTATGGAATTGAAGCTTAATAATCGATAATATGACATTTTGTATAATTTAGAAAACTATGAGAATAATTACAGGTTACCAATAGAGTCTTAAACTGGTTAGTCATTTATTTATTGTCGTGTTTAACTGATTATTGAATTTACAGCTTTAAATACATGATGATATACTGAAATGATTAATTGATTCAATTGTGCTTTCTTGATATATATATATTACTCGTCTTGCGTGATTTACGGTTGATTTGTGAAATTGGTAATTAATATGCAAACAAAAAATTGATTGGTCATGTGAATTAATAAATTATAGACTTATTGGATATCCTGAGAGATCGTTGATGGACCAGGTACATAGGGAACCCTACCGTAAACATTACCTCATACTAGACGGGATATCGAGGATGATATTTTTGGTGCT